TGGGTTAGCACTACCTCATTTGTCTCCAAAAAACCACTGATATTTATCCTATGTTAAGCAACACAACCACAGGTAATGAGGCATGTAAATAATACCTAAATAGAGACATAAAGTGAGGCTTTCGACAAGTAGAGTCACGTGGAAGAGTGGACTGGCGATATTGTTTATTATCAGTACAATTCTTGTTGTAATCTAGAAATATCTGGGAACAGTTATAATATGTATTCCCCAGAATTAGTACGCCTTGATCTAAGGATTCGGGAATATACTATCCGAAAAGACACAACACAATGCAGGCTGACTGAATTTTGGATAAGGAATTCTAAGCGTATGCATAAAGAACTTAAGTAGTGTTCAATTCAGTTTAAACGGACGTTCCATTTTTAAGTATCTTTACTGAGAAATTGAATAACCAAAAGTGTATGCTTACGAGCATTACACAATCAATCATAATTAGGCAGCAGTTCGGTCATATTTTACAGTTGAATCAGCCTTTCCTTTTCTTAAAATGGGAAAAACTGGCATTGAAAACAGTTTTTCTTTCATTTACTATATTTATTTTTTGTTATGCGAACCAATTTGAAATATCTGCATGACTTAGTACTATATACGGATCTATTCGCTTAGCACTAAATAAATCGGATGCGCGGAATGGCAGTAATATTGTATATAGAGAATATATTCAGAAGGTCAGTTTTATGATATAACAATATTGGTTAATGTAAATTGATTTTCTATCCATTTGTATTTTAGTGTGGTATCGTATTCAAGTATGTTGATTTGCAAAGTAGTTTCCCATACGGATGCGTGCCTGTCATTGTGCATTGTTCAAGGATGTAATATTAACAGAATCCGGAAGTGACGGCTTCTTCGTTGGTTTGCGTTAATATAAACATCAATAATTTTTATTTGCATCTAAAAATCCGCTCGCACCATTGTGCTACATTATGTAAAACTGAAAATACATTGAATTTCATGGCAGAAAAGCTGTTTTCGTATTACAATCTGTTTGTAATTATTAAAAATATATGTTGATTGTTCCTACTTTGTTTAAGAATATGTTAAGGTGAGTATTAGTAACAAATCTCTGTAGTTGGAAGTCACAAATTGCGGCGCATATTATAAATTACATAGACTCTATAGTATCAAACGTATCACAGACCAAAGCCTCTGCTGTTGCGAGCACAGTATTTTTTTCCGTTTTCTATCTGTTTTTTATTATTTTCTTTACAGAACTTCGATCTTGATTATCATTCTGTCGAGCAGAGTAAGGATCTCCAAGTGTAATATCATCAAACTCTATACTATAACACTGCTCCAATACATCACTTCCTCGCCTGTTGAGTATCGTGCAGAGCACACGAGTACAATAGTTTTGCACCGAACAAAAAGAGCTGTAGACGTTTTCAATAAGCGGGTTTCCATGAGACTGATATGATTGCCTTGTGGATTCACACTCTTGTGTTCTTAATGCACTCTGTGAATATCTGCAAAAGCAACGAGAATTAGTGTGTGCTAATTCGCAAAATATTTTAATTAGTGACTGAGTTATTTCATTACTAATTGAGTTCTATAGCTGTCTTTGCGAGTGGACATTCCTCATTGCATCTATTCAAACTTGCTGAGGCGAGAGGAAGATTAATAGATTGATATCATAAGAAATTAAACAGCTATTGGTTCTGAGAAAACGAATCAAAATACGATTCATAAAATCAACGTTGGTCTGTGTGTGTGTAGATGTTTTGCATGTACCAACATGGTTTAAATCTATGTGGATTTTTCCAATTAATATTTATGTTTAATACAGAAAATTACAGAAAATTATTCAACATCAGTTTAATTCAGCTTGCCCCTACTATTTGCACATGAACTAAAGTTAAGCTGCCAAGTAATGATCCTATCTTAAATAGAAAAATTTTAGTAATATTTCCCTAAAATCTTAATATTCTTCAGAAAAAGATATAAAAGTTTATAGTAGTTATAAAAAGTCATATAAAAATACATTCAGTGTAAGTGTGCGCCAGAAGTGCGTCATATCACTACTTATGATCAAAAGCAACCGAAACCAATCACAAAAATTGATGTATTTTAATTGATGTATTCCGAAAAACATTTTAAATACGGGAAATCATGTGACAAAAATTATAAGTTTCTATCCAATCATGTATAAATGGCCTATAAACAATACATAGATTGCTATATATTGTTTATGTTTATTACTGAACGATGGACGTACCCACAAAAAGATCAATTAAAAATAATTTTCATTGTGCATACGTACAAATAGTATTGCAACACAAGTGCGATGACCGTCCAATTTTGTTCCGCCCAAACATCGAAGTACACAGATCAGAATGAAATATATCCGTTAACCTCCCGTTTCGTACGTTCATTACCAGTCGACAATGGCGGCAGGGCCCGAAAAAGACATTCGGCAAAGACAAAAGCTACAGACGAATCACGTGCCTCGCCATGGCCCACACAAAGCGGCAACCTCCCTACACAACAATCGAAACAATCGCCAAAGAAGCTGCCGCAGCCGCCACAACAAATCATCCTTGCCACCTTCCCCCGCCCGGCGCCCGCGCCCCATTTTCGAGGCTACAGTTATGTGTGAGTTTTTACTATTACTCAAGCAATTACCTGCACTCAAATTGTATTGTCTTACACTATAGAGTAGCAGCCACACTATTGAACATATTAGTTAGATTATGTCTTAATCGTCCAGAAACTGTCGTACATCTATCATTCATTCAAACACCTACTCGTCCCCTTATTGTAATTCGTTCAATTTATTTCTCATGTTGACCCCCTATCATTTCTTCGTAATCTAGGACCGTATAAACGAGCAAGGTATTAGCAAAATTTAATGTACGCAGTTGAATTTTGCTAAATCGATTTCAGTTTTCTATACACCAATGCCTCGTTATTTGTGACCATGCAGTCGCCTAGTATACCTGTCCAAATAACAACGGCTCGTGTTACGTCATTTTTTGTATTAAGACGCTATAAGTAACACACCCAATGATTACTATAGATAATTATGGATAATAAAGTATAAAAGTGTATCACCTACAGAGTACGTCCCCTAGCTCCCGGTGAGTCGCGCTGATTCCATTTTGTTGTCTCGGGCCTAGCCCCATGCTTTACGGTCAACTTCCGCCCCGTACCAATATCTCCCTTTACGGACTCCGCCGTCGTTAATGGAGTGTTATCCCCATACCCGTCGATGTTTTTGGTTCCCGGCCCCCGATGTTAAGACAACAATCGTTTGCCCCAAAGTATAAGAGCAAATTGGCTTGTCGTACGATCACACAAAAGAGGCTGAAAGTATGATGTGCCATCAGATGATTGTATCATCCCTAATCTTCCCTATTTTATAAAAAATTTATTAAAGAACTGTTCACATTCTGCATCAAGCGTCGACGAATGTGGTGGTATTGAAGAGGGGCAGACGGCAGCGAAGGTCACGAGTGAATGTTTCTGAGGATGTGCGCAGGAAGGCCTTGTGATGTCTGTGTGTGAGCAAGAATCACGTGGGTGGGATTTGTTTATTATTCGTACAATTCGTTTTTGTAATCTAAAAGTCTGGGAACTATAATATGTATTTCCCCAGAATAGTACGCCTTATCTCAGGCGGGAATGAACATTCGCGAAATAAACACAATGCAGGCTGACTGAATTTGAAAGAATTCTGAAAGCGTAGCATAAAGAACTTAAGTTAGTGTTCAATTCATTTAAACGGACGTTCCATTTAAGTTTTGACTGAATTGAAAGACCAAAAGTGTTGTTACCTTAACATCAATCAATGGCACGTCGTTCATTTTCAGTGAATCAGTTTTCTATTTATTTAAAATGGAAAACTGCATTGAAACAGTTTTCTTTTCATTTACTATTATTTTTTTGTTATGGAACCAATTTGAAATATCTGCTGTTGTACTATTTACGGAATCATTTCGCTTTGCATGATAAGGTGCGGGAATGAGTAATTTGTTTAGAAACGAGTAGTTTTTATGAATATAACAATATTGTATTTAATTATATTTTTTCTATCCATTTGTATTTTATTGGTATCGGTTTTAAGAATGTTGATTTGCAAGTGTTTGCCATACGGATGCTGCGGTCATTGGTGCATGTTTCAACGCTGTAATAATAACAGAATCCGGAAGTGACGGTCGTCGTTGGTTTGCGTTAATATAAACAAATAATTTTATTTGCATCTAAAATCCGCATCGCACATTGTTGGTACATTTATGTAAAACGTGAATACATTGAATTCAATGGCAGAAAGCTGTTTTCGTTTAAGCGTTTGAATTATTAAAAAATGTATTGTTCGTACTTTGTTTAAGAATTTTTAGTAGTTGTAATTTTCTGTAGTTGAAGTCACAAATTGCCATATTATAATATTACATAACCATGAGCAATATTCCGAGCAAGTATGTGCTGTTGGAGCACTTAGTTTCTGTTTTCAGAATTCATCTTGTATATGGCTTGGGTAAGGATCCCAGAAATAAAAAAAAACGTCCAAAATATACTTCTCCCTGTAGGACGTCACACACAGTTCAATAGTTTTTTGACGAAAAAAAAGTGTAGACGTTTTTCAGCAAGTTCCTGGACTGGAAGTTTGGCATGTTTCAACCTTGTTCTTACACGCTGTGTATATTGCAAAGCATGAGAATATGATTCAGTCGGTATTACTAATGGAGGTCAAGCTTTGTTTGGGTGGACTGCTTTGACAATAACTGCAGTTTGTGTTGAGTTTTACTATTACTC